AATTCCCAAATCACTGAAGAGACATTAATTGTCGAAATCCGGATATGGTGTATCAATTTTTGCACCTCATGTTTGCGGTATACCAACTTTTCCGCAAGTTTATTGTTTTCTGTTTGGTATAAAACTGATAATAAGATCCATTTTGTTACATCTGGTGATCCACTTATTTGGCAATCGCCATGGCAGTCAGCAGTTTTTAAGAACATCCGTTGTTCGACCTGCTAGTCAAATGAATTTTGTTAAAATATACTTTTTCACTTTTTTTGTCTTTTGGAAAATGTTGTTTGTGCTGTATTTAGACCCCTCTACCAAGAAATTTGTTTTGCATGCACACATGTAAAACTTGCGGTTTTATCCAACGCAATCATAGGTTTGAACGCTGTTTTCAATTTAGATTTGTTGATATTTTTTCGTTTGGGGTTGTATTATATTTGCATTCGGGTTTATATAATCCGTTCATCCTATTGCGACTCGTCAAAGTTCAAGAGTATATCCTAAATTGAGGTAACTTATATGGCCTTCCAAATACCGTTGGGATTCCTAACATCAAAATATATTTTGTTATAGATATATATTTTTAATTTAGACTAGTGTATATTTTTTTGTTTGGGCTTGTATTGTATTTGCCTTCGGGTTTATATAATCCGTTCATTCTATTTCGACTCTTGAAAATTCAAGAGTCTATCCTAAATTGAGGTAAATTATATGGCCTTCCAAATACCATTGGGATTCCTAACATCAATGAAGAGACATTAATTGTCGAAATCCGGATATGGTGTACCAATTTTTGCACCTCATGTTTGCGGTACACCATCTTTTCCGCAAGTTTATTGTTTTCTGTTTGGTATTAAATTCATAATTAAGATCCATTTTGTTACATCTGCAGATCCGTTTTTATGGCAATCGCCATGGCAGTTAGCAGTGTTTAAGAACATCCGTTGTTCGACCTGCTAGTCAAATGCGTTTTGTTAAAATTTACTTATCCCTTTTTTGGTCTTTTGGTAAATGTTGTTTGTGCTGTATTTAGACCCCTCTACCAAGAAATTATTTTGCATGCACACATATAAAATTGCGGTTTTTATCCAATGCAATCATAGGTTTGAACGTTGTTTTCAATTTAGACTTGTTTCTATTTTTCGTTTGGGCTTGTATTATATTTGCTTCCTGGGGCCAGTATCATGAAGCAATCTTAGTGCTTAAGATTATCTTAGGATCATCTTATCTGCTAGGAGTGTATCTTGAAGTCATCTTAGAATGATTGACAGCCCTGAAAATTCATGTTGCACTCACAACCCTAAGAGTACTCTTTATCCTTCTCGGAACGCTCTCTTATTTTTAATCTTAACCACGGGTATCTCGAACGTCGATAATCAACTTAAGATCGTCTTTGATTACTTTTAGCAAACTTTAAGTGTATCAGCATTCTTTTTTTACGGAAAACTTAACAGAAATTTCTAAGAGTAGTCAGGGGCACCCCTATCTCTCTTAGTTAATAAGACTGCAATGTTCTTGCTTGTGTGTTCAAGAGAACGAAATATGATATACATAAGGATTTTCAGAGATCGAAAAAAATCATTGGATTTCTTAGACGACCGTTTATTATCCGTTCATTCTAGTTCGACTCTTCAAATTCTATAAATTACTATTTTTATTTGAAGCATATCTATGCAGTCTCTGTTGTAAATAGTTATATAACCTACGCCATTTTTGAAATTTTAGAATTGTACAAGCGTTTTTGTGTTCCGTTTTAATTGTTTTAATTGTATAAATTTCAAGATTGCTATAGTTAAAACAGAATAGATTAATATGATTCATTTTACATCAACATCATACTGATGAAGAATATCTGTTATCCGAAATATTTATAGATAATTACAATTAATGTTTTCATTTTTTAATATTGGTGTTGTTTTGTTCACTTTTTAGGCGTTTACATAATTTATTTGTACATGTAACGATCCAGCGCCTTCGTAAGAAAGATCGTTGACTAATATCTAGACGTCTTATATATATATCCCACTTCATGTTAATATCGTCGATGAATCGGAACCAACGACGATATTGACATGAAGTGGGATAATACTGAACAAGAACTAAATTTGTTCGTTCAACATGCCAACGATGCTCATCATTCAATAAAATTCACTTATGAAATCTTTGACTCTAAGATCACATTTTTTGACACTGCTACGCAAGTGAAGGATGGAAACATATTAACAGATCTGTATTTCAAGCCCACAGACAAACTTCAATATATTTCTCCTTTGAGTTGTCATCCTAAACATTGCACCAAGAGCATTCCCTACGAATAAAACGGATTTGCTCCAACAACGATACTGCAAAAAGGCGACTACAAGAACTTCGCGGTCACCTAGAAAATCGGGGCAACAAAAGAAAAGACATTGATAAAGGTTTCGCTCGTGCTAACAAAATCAGCTGAGATGAACTTTTCCAATATAAAGACAAAAAGGTCAACAAGAGAGTGCCGTTTGTGTTGACTTACCATCCCAAATTTTACAAGTTATCACACCTAATCCGCGAAAATTGGAAAGAAATCGAAAAACATCCTAAACCATCCAAGATCGTTCCCGAGCCACCTGTACTGGCTTTCCGTAGGCCCAAAAGCCTTAAAGACTTGCTAGTGAGAGCTGATATATCCTCTAAAGCATGCTCTTCGTCTGTGGGTTCTTGCAAGGAATGCGGAAACAAACGATGTCTGACTTGTAAACAAATACTGAATACCCAGAATTTTAACAGTCACTCCATTGGTACGGAATTCACCATATTTTGCAATGTTAATTGCAAGACTACAAATGCTGTATATCTCTACAGTGTAAATGTGGTAAACAGTATGTTGGCGAGTCAGAACAGCCATTTCACAAACGAATGAACGGCCATCGTAGCAACTATGAATGCAAGGCAGACCTTCCTCTCAGTCGACATTTAAGATCCCCTGGCCACACGAAGGCAGATCTCAATCGACTGACCATTACAATCATAGACCACAACACTGCTTGGTCTAGGGAGGATAGACTCACTCGGGAAATATTTTGGATAAAAAATTAAAAACGTTGTCACCAAATGGGATAAATAAAAAGGTGTAGTTCAAATTCGCACAGTGTTTTTAATTTGGGTTATATTACATATTGCTACACAGTCTCTGTTGCTATTTCTTTACCTTTGTCAACTCTAAAATGTTTGAATTGTAGCAGTTTTAATTGCATGGTTCTATTCATTTGGGAGGGATGTACAAGTATGCAGTCAGACACGTTCAACTATTTAACCTTAGTCAAAATTTATTATTATTTTTTCTTAATCATTATCAAACAGCTATTTATTTGGGATGTTTGAATACAGCCTCTGATGTAATTACTCTACCGTTTTCAAATTTGAAATATTAATACCAGCTTCGATCGGTCAGTGCTGTTTGGGAATGTATTTCAACGCAATCGTTGTTGTAACATCTTAACAGTCGTCATCTTTGAAATTTTAGAATTGTATCAGTTCATATCGCACATTACTATTTTTATTTGAAGCATATCATTGCAGTCTCTGTTGTAAATAGCTATATAACCTATGTCATTTTTGAAATTTATGAATTGTACAAGCGTCTCGTTGTTCGGTTTTAACTGTTTTGTTGTATAAATTTCAAGATTGTTGTAGTTTAATCAGAATAGATTGATATGATTCATTTTACATCATAATCATACTGATGAAGGATATCTGTTATCCAAAATATTTATAGATAATTACATTTAATGTTTCTTTTTTTTTATTATTGGTGTTGTTTTGTACATGTTTTAGGCGTTTATATATATATATATATATACAAATCTAAATTGAAAACAACGTTCAAACCTATGTTTGCGTTGGATAAAAACCGCAATTTTTATACGTGTGCATGCAAAACAAATTTCTTGGTAAAGGGGTCTAAATACAGTACAAACAAATTTTTCCCAAAGACAAAAAAGATGACAAAGTATATTTTGCAAAACGCATTTGACTAGCAGGTCGAATAACGGATGTTCTTAAACCCTGCGGAAAAGATGGTAAACCGCAAACAAAAGGTGCAAAAACTAGTACACCATATCCGGATTTCGACAATTAATGTCTCTTCAGTGATGTTAGGAATCGAAACGGTATTTGGAAGGCCATATATAACGGTATTTGGAAGGTATAAGAGTCTATCCTAAATTGAGGTAAATTATATGGCCTTCCAAATACCGTTTCGATTCTTAACATCACTGAAGAGACATTAATTGTCGAAATCCGGATATGGTGTACAAATTTTTGCACCTCATGTTTGCGATATACCACCTTTTCCGCAAGTTTATTGTTTTCTGTTTGGTAATAAATTAATAATAAGATCCATTTTTTACATCTGGTGATCCGTTTATTTGTCAATCGCCAATGGCAGTTCGCAGGGTTTAAGAACATCAGTTCGACCTGCTAGTCAAATGCGTTTTGTTAAAATATACTTTTTCACTTTTTTGGTCTTTCGGAAAAATGTTGTTTGTGCAGTATTTAGACCCCTCTAACAAGAAATTTGTTTTGCATGCACACGTATAAAAATTGCGGTTTTTATCCAACGCAATCATAGGTTTGAACGTTGTTTTCAATTTAGACTTGTATATATATACAAGGGGGGGGGGATGGGGGCGCTGATATTCCGTCTTATCGGGTGTATATTACCCAGCTCGCTCGATATGCCTGAGTCTGCAGTAATGACTCAAGTGAACGATTTAAATATATAACTGATAAACTTTTAAGTGAGGGATTTCATTACCACAAACAACTTAAAACCTTTCTTTACTAAATCATTTTATAGATACACAGATTTGTTTGGGAAGTTTGGCAGTTATTAACGGGAGATATCACATCCATTGATTTACGGCGGTGATGTAATTATACAGATTGTAAAATAAGATACGATCCATTTGACAATATTTTAACATATGTCAACTACCGTTTCCTAAATTGTCATTTGAAAACAAACTTACCTTCATTGCCTTCGTTGCTTTCACCTGAAAATTAGAATTTTCATTAATTGCTGTATTTTGGATATTATGAACTGATTAGTTAAACAAACGCGGTATCTAGTCGTTACCATATTATAACCAAATGTTTATAGCTTTGGGGGAGATACCTCTAAATTGTATGATTTTCATGTGTTACTGTTGTCCGTCCGTCCGTCCGTTCTCTAACAAAAGTTTGCCTCAACCATATGTTATGAAACTTATACACACTGCCACAGTCACTTGTCTTTTTGTTCTACACTAGGAACTTAACTCGCATTTAAAAAAACCCAATTGTTTTCGAACTGTCGTTATATTTCGATTCCTACCTTTGTTGTCGGAATCATTCGTAGCAGGCCTCCCAAGTATGTCAACCGTAAACATTTCGTCTTCTCACAGCCCTTTGGAAACATTAATCTCGCAGTAAATAGTTAATTATAATTGTCGCTTTGGTATCTTTCCCCTCTCTTATCCATATCTCGGTTTCAGATTGGTCAAATCTGATTGCTAAAAAAAAATGTTTTTTGGAGTTATCTGAATTTTAACTGTAAAGTCCAGAAAGAGTCTGAATGACATTGATAGAATGGAAAATTTGTGTCTAAAAATAGAAACTCGTATCTCATTAGACACACCTCAAATAACACTTATTAGATTTTTTTCACAAAATCTTTTTACAAATTTACTATCTGGATGATAAGTTCTATTCGGCGAAAAACTAACACAGGTTTATGAGATATACTTTTTATAATTAATCATTCACTGCGAGATTAATATTTCAAAGGGGTTATGAGAAGACAAAAATATTATGTTTGACATATTTGAAAGGCCTATTACGAATGATACCGGAATAGAATTAGGCGTGTTATACACCATTTTGTAAATGATTCAATGTAGATTTACGGGATAAAAAATTTCAGTGGGATAGACAACCGCAAAACCGAAATAAACCGAACGTTCGCGACCGAGTGACATTTCTAAAATATGCGAGTTAGGTACATTGTGCTATATGAAGGTATATAGGAACAAAAAAAAATCAGAGACAAGTGCCTATGCACAATGCTTATTACAACAAAACACAAATCAAATTCGAAATTAGGTGGCGTCACTTTAACGTTTTCGAGTTATGCCCTTTAATAACATCAATAATACAGAAATTTATGTATTAACAACATATGATTTTTTAAAGAAAACCTGCTTTAGGGACCATCGGTATAAAGCAAAAATCTGTTTTATAAGACTATCAATGGTAGGTCTCTCTGTTGTAGTAGGGTAATATAATCGATTGCAATCCCCCTGTCAAGAATGAATTCATACATTAAATGTTGTGGAAAGAAAACATATTAAAAACTTAAATCTCTCAAATTTAGTTATTATAGGTATCATTACGAAATCTTAACTTCAAGCATGTAAAAAAATAGTAAAAAGTAAAATAACAAAAATACCGAACTCCAAAATTCAAAACGGAAAGTCCCTTATCAAATGGCGAAATCAATATTTTGTTAACCTGTGTATAGGTGTATAAATAAATCGCCCATCGACATTCAGTTTCAGTATAGACAGAGCAAATATAATAAAAAGAAAACGTTTTCATCAGTGTAGAAAATTTTCAACCACGTCGATATGAGTATTCTAGAGTTGTCAAATAAAGGCAACAGTAGTATACCGCTGTTCGAAACTCATAAATCGATAGAGATAAAAACAAATCCGGGTTACAAACTAAAACTGAGGGAAACGCATCAAATATAAGAGGAGAACAACGACACAACAAAAACACAACATTAAAATGTAACACAGACAGAAACGAACTATAATATAACAATGGCCATTTTCCTGACTTGGTACAGGACATTTTAAGATAAAATGGTGGGTTGAACCTGGTTTTGTGGCATGCCAAACCTCCCGCTTTTAAGGCAACTTCAAACACAACACCAAAAACGACAACATCACATGACAGGACCACAATACAAATAAATGGGAGAACATATAGGACAAAGAAACACACGAATAATAGCTAGCAGAAGGAACTAGGCTTAAAATTCATTACACCAGACATGCGTCTCGTCCACACAAGGCTAACCAGTGACGCTCAGATAAAAAAATTTGAAAGCCAAAACAAGTAGAAAGCTGAAGAGCACCGAGGACCAAAACTTCCAAAAAGTTGCGCCTAACACGGCCAGGATTTTCTGTCTGGGAATAATGTATGATCACCACTACAATTACATCATGAAAAAATAGAGGCATACCAAAACAAAGCTCATGATGACTGATACTGACTCACTACTGTATCATATTTCCACCGAAGACATATAAAAAGATATGGAAGAGGACAAGCACTTATTTGTTTTCTCCAATAATTTCAAAGACCACTCTTCATACGATAGTCAAAAAAAAAAAAAAAAAGAAACTGCGGCTATATAAAGATGAAACGGGGGGTATGCATGTAATTAAATTCGCTGGCTTAAGAAGTAAAATGTATAGCCTGAAATATGCAGACGTCGAACAAAAGAGGAAAAAAGGGATCATCAAATCCGTTGTCAGCAATATGTCGATTGTATCCTGCAATTGTCAATTGAATGTTATTCGAAATAAAAAGCACAATCTGCACTTACTTAACATCAACAAGTTGGTGCTCTGCGCCTTCGACGACAAGAGATATGTGTTGTACAACGTTAAAGAAACATTAGCTTTCAGGCATCATCAAATTTTAGAAATAGTAATAATTTCGTCTGCCATTCGTTAGTAAAATTCTTTATGTTTATGCTTTTTTTTTTTAAAACTTCATGTAATATATATGCGTTTCACATTTGGGTTCTAGTGATGGATCCGCCTAACCTTTTCAGAACACATTTTGGAGGGGTTTAAGTAATTAATTTGTTGAAATTTTATTGAGTGTGGGTTTGTTCTTTCTTGTGATGTTTTCGTCTATGTCGCTAGTTGTATGCACAGAACAGTAAGCAATTCGATTGGTCTATATAAATTATATTTACGTAAACTATACATGCCAAATAAATGAAAATAGATGTAAACACGTGCAGAACAGTTATGAGATTCACTTATAAGTTAAAAGACATTCATTTTCGTTTCTTATTAGTCCTAGGTTTTTTTGTATCAAACGTATCAAACGACGTCGAGATCCTCTTCCGATTTGTTTGTCATTAGCTGTTTGTGTTGCACTATCCACTTGGTGATTTTTTTTTGAACGGCTCAATTTATTATGCTTATCTGGTGGTTTCGCAGTATCAATTTTGACAATATTTGTTGTTGCTGTTTTCAATTGATCATCTTTGTCTTTACGGTTGTTTAATTCTTCAAATCATTTCAGCAGGTCCTGGTATTTACGTTAAGTCACTAATGTCAGTTCTATATTTCAAAAACGAATGAAGAATGACTGGAATTTCTTATTTGATTTTGACATATCGCTTCCTTCTCAATGACTTAGATAGAGAATAATCGACCACCTTACGAATATGTTTTTTATTCAATCGAAGTAGGTTTCCAGTTCTGGTCGAAGTGGATATAACTCCTCTATATATTTAAAACGATCTCCATCAGTAATTTCAATTGATCGTCCGTAGTTATCTGCAGAATTGCCTTCCTCTGTTCCTTATCACATGGAGATACAAAAATTAAAAACGAATTATTTGCCAAAGTCAGTGTCTTAATCACTGGGACAACTGTTCTTGGTCCCGTCTATTTTTATACAACACCAAAGTCTGAGCGTGCGCATAATCTTCCCTTTCTGGAATAGATTTTGAACTAAACAGATGATCGTCATATTTATATTGGTGATCCAATGCATACGAATTGTTCCACTTCTATGCTATTGGCACTTTCGCTCATCAAGTTGTCCAAAACGCAGGTGAAATGTCCGTTGTCCCTGTGAATGTCTAATAATTCGGTCTTGGTGGGAGCCCTTCATGGAAACATGTGTTTTTCACATTCTGCTGCATGTCGTCGAATATGGGCTACCGCACACTCCCATAACAATACAATACGAATATGGGAGGTTCCTGGAACATGAGGTGTGCATTTTCCAACAGTTTTTTTCGCACGTTTTTCCCGAATTTGTAGGCCCATACACCACCATCAACGAAGTCGGCGTTTCGATCTGCAGTAAAGTAGGTTCTTCATCTGTTGAGGTCATCTTGTAAAGTAACAGTATATCTTTGTGCTTCTTAATTTTTAAGGTCCTTCTTGCCAGTCACACAAAACGGAAAAGTACGGTTCACGTGATGGTAAACAAACTGGTCGTTGTTGGCAGAATTTTGTGAAAATGGTTTGACGACGAATTTCATGTCTATTCCCCTACATCTCTGCATTAAATAGTAGATGCAGTATTGGCCGCATTCGCTAGAATCCGAACTTTGTAGTTGTTTCTGGCTGTACGCCATTTTCAATCCATGTCTGTCAATCCTCCGAATAGTAGGAAGGTGAGTTACCGTCACTGTCGAAAAACTCCCCTTCAGTTCTAGACGATATGTAAAAGGCTACCAAATGTCTTCCCGGGTCTATCCTCTTATCGGTGTTGACTATTAAAGAAACTGGAAAGAAATTGAAAAAGAGGGACGAAAGATACCAGAGGGACAGTCAAACTCATAGATCGAAAACAAACTGACAACGCCATGGCCAAAAATAAAAAGACAAACAGACAAATAATAGTACAGATGAACAGTTTCGGTATTTCGCCAAAAGCGAGTATTCCTACCGCACTGTTGGACAAGACTTATTCCCATCAAACGATGCACTGTAGCGAGTTAGTGTTCATATTTTGTTAATCGATGATGTCGTCATGGCTTTTAGAAACTTTCGGCCAGCAGGATGCTGTTGACGGTAAGAGGTAGAGTCGTATTGAAATGAGCACGAATTCTAACGTTCCCTAGCTTTTTCATAGAAAAGTCTTCATTTCCATCAATGTCTGTTTGTTTGTTAAATGCATACAGAGCGAAACCACTGGCTAAATATTCTCTGGTTGAGTCCATTCCCCGCCATTTCATCGTCGATTCCAATAA